AGGGAAAAATCATTTGGTTAGGCCTAGTTCTCCTGCCTACAGCCCAGCTATGGAATTCCGGGACATAATTCCATTTTGGCCTCTGGTCACAACTGAGACCTCAATGATCCGGTGATGCTGTGATTCTCCAGGACAAGATTACACTAGAGGGAGACATCCTGGGAGGAACCAAATCTTCATCTGCATAGTTCCTCATTGTTCTTGGATTTCCGCAGCCCCCCAGTCTTTTGTTACACCTTGTTTATCCCAATGTGAGGTACTGAACTCTCTGCATTTCATTTGTTACATTTGTTTCTCCCGAGGTACTGAATAAAAGGTGCTGCAAGCTAGGGGTCTTTGTCTTTGCTGTCCAGAGCAGCACTGACCAGGCCCAAAGCTCAGCTTCTCCAAGTCTCATTTTTTCTACCTTTCCTGTATATTGTTAATTCGCCCTGTGCTGCCGTGGCTCGCAGGAGACTAGGTCCTACTGCAGAGGTTCTAGTAATGTCCCCTTTCCCTGTTCCCTACAGGAAGTGATCACTTGCAGTACATTAATGTCTAAGAGCTCATCAAATACATTGAACTACTTATTTCAGCGTTTTCCTGCTGCTAAGATTTTAGGCTGACTCTATTTCCCCTATTATACATAAGACTGGGATTAATGTCTTTGAGGCATGCCCAAATTGGAGGGAACAACCATTGCAAAGCTTTCCATAAGTACTGCCAAGTGGATTTCTGGAAACGCTGTATTGTGTTATCCTCACACACTGTGTAGTCCTCCCTGGCTTCTTTCTTCACAGGACAGATGCTTTCAGTTAGTCAGGTAGGAGGAGCTGGGACCAGGAGTGGGAGAATCTTCATATTAGCCCAAGCTACACTAATTACTCATCATGTAACCTGAGCAAGTCTCTGATCGGGGGAGCCTATATTGTCCTTATCAGACAAATACAGTGGTGGGCACTTCTCTAATTTAAGGGATTACTTTTTTTTTTGAAGTATTGGGATTGAACCCAGGGCTCTGCGTATTCTAGGCATATATCCTCAATCCAAAGGGAAGATTTTTGAGGATCAGCTCATGTTATATATGAAAGCAACTTGTCAAATATAAGGTTGTAGGTTTAATCATATGAATTGTCATATGTGTAGGTCCAAGAGTCTAACAGTGCTAATTTCACACGGTTCAACCTAATAGTATATAATTAAATGGTTGGAAGTTATAAGGTCCTACAGCTCTTAAATGAGTAGCTATTTACATGTTCTAGAAACCCATCAGCTAGTTGTGTTTTCTGGTAGCTTTCATCTATTAACTTTTTTTCTGATAATCTGTTTCCAAGCACCACAAATGTATCCACAGATTTAACGCTTCACTTCTAGGTCCTGCCGACCTAGTCTGTTCTGGGTTCCCTTTGATGGCCAGAGGCCTTTTGCTACACAGCTAACCTCCAGTGTGCTCCCAGTGGACTCCTTTGCTTGCAGCTCAGGTGTCACAGCCTTGGGCTTGCCCTCCCTCATTGTGTTCAGGACTCTTCACTGACTGCTCAATCTCTTCACTGCAGGAGATGTTTACTGAACACAAACTGTGTTCCACACACTGTGCTGTGCTCCAGCGGGAAGTTGAAAACCCACCAGCCCAACTCCCTTAAAATACGACAAAGCAGATGGGACACAGATGGCAGTACCTGATTTGACAGCCTGGCAGATGGCAGAAGGGCTATAATGGACACTTTTAAATAGCCTACATTTTTTTTTTCTAAAGCTGACTTTATCCAGGTTCAATTTACATTAAAAGTGTGCCTTTAAGTGAATGGTTTGTATATTTTGGCAAATGTATATACCTATGCAACCCCCATCACAATCAAAATATATATTTCCCTCACCTAAGAACATTTCCCTGTGGCCCTTTCTCACCAATTCTGCCATCTCCAACCCATGGCAACCACTAATCTGCTTCCTGTTACTATAGATTTGTTTTGCCTTTAATAGAATTTTATAAAGATAGAATCAAACACTAAGTATTTTGGTCTGAAGGCTTTCATTCAGCATATTTTGGTAATTCATTCATGTTATCATGTATATCAGTAGTTCATTGCTTTTCACTGCCAAGTACTCCATTATAAGGATATAGTATACCACAACTTATCTATTCTTTCACCATTTAATAGACATTAGGTTGTTTCCAGTTTGGGGTAATTATGATTATAGCTGCTATGCATATTCTTGCACAAGTTTTTTGTGGACATATTCTTTTTTTTTTTTTTGGTACTGGGGATTGAACTTGGGTCCTTGCACTTGCGCAGCAGGCAGTAAAAACACTGAGCTAAATCCCCAGCCCTGTGGACATATTCTTTTGGGTAAACATCTAGAAATGGAATTCCTGAGTGACATTATTTGTGCATGTTTAACTTTATAAATACTTTGATCATTTTATACTCCCACTAGCACTGTAGAACTCCAGATACTCTAAAACCTCACCAACACTTGATATTGTCAGCTTTTAAGGAATTTTAGCCACTCAGGCTGAGGGTATAGTTCAGTAGTAGAGAACCTGCTTAGCCTGTGCAAAGCCCTGGGTTCTATCTCCAGTATTGTTTTTTTTTTTTTTTTTTTTAAAGGTCATTCTTGAAGGTGTTAAGGAGCATTTCAATGTGATTTTAATTTGGAAAAAAAGTACTATCTTTGATTGCTAAGTTGTTCTTCCTACATACATGCCAGGAGTTTAGGCCTAGTCTATGTTCCTATATTCTGTGTGTGTGTGTGTGTGTGTGTGTGGTGTGTGGTGTGTGTGTGTGTGTGTTACTGGGATTAAACCTAGGACTTTCACCCTGAGCTACATTCCCAGGCCTTTTAAATTTTTTATTTAGAGACAGGGTCTCTTTAAGTCACTAAATTGCACAGGCTGGGCTCAAACTTGCAATTCTCCTTTCTCAGCCTTCCAGAGTGCTGGGATTACAGGCATGAGCTACCATGTGTGGCTGATCTCCATTCTTCTAGAGTCAATGTTTTTTGCACTTAATGGCCAACTTACAGAGATGTGAGCCCCCTCTCAAGAGAGATTATTGATCTCTCAGACACATCAGAGTTCTCATTAAAAGTTAAAATGGAGGTTGGAGGCCACACTGTGAAGTATGCTCCTTCACACTCAGGTTTCCTGTTGCAATGACCAAAGACAGGTTGTGAGGTCCTTTCTGTGAGTGCCCTTCACCCTGCTGCTCCTCTTGCAGGATCTCCCCATGCTCCTGGCTTTCTAAACAACTGCTGCAGCAAGGCGTGAGTCACTCAACATATCCTGTTTTAACCCTTCTATTGCTAAGTAGCACTGTTACTAAACCGACACATCCCATCATTACTATCAGGTGGCTCTAATGGCTTACTGTGCTACCAGGATGTCCTGTGTATTTGATGGGAGCATGAGTTGCAAGAAACTGGAGTTAAGTGAGAAGAGTTGCTCACATATTACAAACTTAGAGTTTGGTGGCTTTCAGGGCTGAATTGATGCAGTGGCTCAAAATGTTACTGAAGTCTCTTTTCATCCCTTTGCTCTCCCTTCCTGGTAGCTAGCTCCCACCCATGCTGCCAAATAGTTGTAAACAAGTTCCTAGCTATACATTTCCTCAGTTGCCTTCCAGCCAAAGGACTGTTGGTCCTAGGAACTGCATTAAGAGTAAGCACTGACTTAAATCATTCTACAATCTAAGCATGTATCAGAACAACATCACACTGTACCTCTGAAATATACACAATTATTTATCAGGTAAAAATAAAAATTCAAAAAGAAAAAAAGTAAAAACATTTATTGAGCATATATATATGCCAGGTGCTTTAAATACATTATTTAATATAAAATTAACTCCTCCAGTTAATATCTTTGCTTTCTATATTTCTAGCTGGATGACTTTTGTCAAATTGCTGAACTTTTTGTGCCTCAGTTTCCTCAACTATAAAATGGGGATAATCTAGTATTTACTCCATAGCATTGTTCTGAGGGTTAAATGAGATAATAGATGGAAGACCTTTAGCATAGTGCTTAGCATAAAGGTTCAATATATGTCACCCCCCCCCACACACAGAGTAAGCATGATTCTTTCCCACAACTCTTTCCCAGGAAGTACTGGGTCACAAGATCATCCCTGGGGTGGGACTATGCTGGTCATTTTAGGTAGAGCCTTATGCTCTATTCCTAGATTCACAATGCAGTCAGCTTCCTCTAAGCACCTGAGCTGTATGTGGGTGACATGGATACTGAACAGAAACCAGGCTAGACAGTGAGAGGAGAGAGGAAAGACGCTGGGAGGCAGCCACAAGATCTGTTATATTCTGAATTATTTTAGCTATTATGAATATTCTAGAAAAAAATTTCACATGTTGCCAAGAGGATATTCATGTAAAGCCAAGTAAACACATTTTCTAGTTCGCACTTTTTAGAGTGTGTGTGTGCATGTGTGTACATGAATCCCTACAGCCTAGCGTTATATGCCAAGATAAGTTTGTGGGTTTTCAAAATTTTTATTTTTATTAGTACATGCTTGCAATACATAATTACATTCACTGTGTGGAGCTGGTACATGTACAGAACACGTTTTAATTCTTTTTACACTGCTCCTATCTCTTAGTCTGTTCCTCATTTGTAAAAGATCTATTTCCCTATTTCTTTTTACCTTTTTTCTCTTTGACTTGTTTACACTTTGGGTTTCTCATAAGACAAACCATGCCATATTTAAGCTTGTGTGTCTGATTTATTTAACATTATGGTCTCATGGTGCATCCATTTTCCAACAAATGATGCGAATTTATCCTTCTTTGTAGCAAAATACTATGCCATTGTGAATAAATACCATATTTTCTTTATCCATTCATCTGTTGATGGACATATCAGCTGCTTCCAACATTTAGCTATTATAAATTGTGCTGCCATAAATGTGGGTATGCATACATTACTGTGATATGATGGCTTTAACTCTTTCAGGAAAATACCTGTTGGAACCAGGTTCCCAACAGTGAGTCACCCAAGTCACGACACAATGTAAAGTCTGCAAAGAACTTTATTTTCCGGCCGGGACCAAATCCCCTAAAAGGAGACTGGCCACTGACTGAACTTTTGGTCCTTTCCTCCTCCCACCTCCCTAGCCCTGCAGTAAGCATATTTACAGGAGCGAGTAAGAATGCGTGGTTATCACATCAGGGTCACCAGGTACATGTTGTAAAACCAGCCCTTACAAATTGCAGACACACATCCTGTTATTTATGACAGATGGGTTCCATATGTGCTCTTGTGGTTGTTTGTCTAAACCCTTAAACATCAATCAAAAGCAGGAGTATAGGCGTGAGATAAGAACATCTGGTGTGCTGAGACATCACACAGGAGTACAAACGTGAGATAAGACCCTCCCAGAGTTCACACAGAGGACAGTTTCCCACCAAAACTGGGGCAGTTCAGACAAAATGGAGTCTCTTAAGCTAACTTAGGTCTCTCATACCCCACTGCTTCTAGCATACTCAATCAAATCCTTGATTCTTCCCTGTCTTCTTTTTCTGTTATACGTTCATATTGTTGTTTGAACCTATATTCCTTCCTTAAGACCATGAGTTTTACTGTCTCTATTTTTTGTTTTACGTACTTGGTGATGGAATTTATAACACACGGTCCAATTAGCAACATTAGAAGCAAGATGACTAGGGGTCCAGCTAGGGTGGAGAGTAAGGTAGTCATCTAGGGGGACCAGTTAAACAAAGATTGGTACCAGTTTTGGTCTTTTTGATTCCAGTATTTTGTCTTTAAGTTTTCTCGTACCATGACCAGGGTGTCTCTTATTACTCCTGACTGATTAACGTAAAAACAGCACGTTTTTCTCAATGCCACACATAATCCCCCTTGTTTCATAAAAAGCAAATCTAATCCTCTCCTATTTTGTAATACAACTTTAGCCAATGAGTCTACTTGTTTTTCCAGCCTAGAAACAGAATCTTCCAGATATCCTAGATCTTGGGCTACCTGGTAGCTTAAAGCTTTAAAGTTACTATCCTGTACTACGAGTGAGGAGGTTCCTATGGCTGCAGAGGCTGCTATCCCCAATCCTACCAGAATGGGGACCAGAACAGGAGCTGTTCTTTTATGTCTGTACAAGTCTGTGGCAGGGTCCAAGTGTTCTCATCCTCCTTCCCCATTATAATATAACACTTGTGGAATTATATAAACAGTGACACAGAGCAGGGAGTCAGGTTGATCTGTAAAAACAGACTTGGGAATACATTGAGTGAACCCCTCAGTACATGCAAACCAGGCATCCTCTGGAGCCTTATAATGTAAAGGGGGAACCTGGAGTTGTATGGTTGGTGAAAGTTGAGTTACATAAACTATCTAAGTTATAATTTGTCCAAGTCAGACACGTTTCTGTTCCTTGTATATCCCCCAAAGTTAGCATAGGTTTATTCCAGTTACAATCAGTGGAGGACAGAGATTTAGGCACAGTGGTCACTCCCATCCCTACATAATAGGGGGGCTTTGGGTCTAGACATAACCAACAATCTCCTGTTTCCTCCAGTCTAGATGAATTTAGATTCATTTTATGAACCTTGGTTAACATCTCTAAGATTGGTGTGGTGGTCTCTGGCCTCTCGGTGTCAGAGATTTCTGACAGGTCAGTGGAAATAGTTGACAACCTCACAGGTGGACTAGGATTTGGTCTTTCAGGAGGTGGCTCAGGTTTTTCTACAGGGATAGGTAGGGCCAGGTCTTTGTTTGGTTCTAATACTAATGGGGCTCTGTATTGGCTGCATGGGATGGTAAATTCTGATCCAGGATCGAATCCTGCAAGATATAGCCTGATTCCCCATGTCCTTCCTAATTTTTCACCCAGGATCCTCCAATCATTGTGGTAGAATAGTAACCAGATAGCATCTACCAGTGACACAGGGTTTATCATGATTGAGGGTGGTGGGAGACATTTTTAGCCAGCAATCCAGGACTTGGACTGACCAGGGGGCTATAGTCTCTCATCCCCATTTTAGACAATGATAGTCTTCTTGACTATCCTTGCAGTATTTGTCTCCATTTGGTGGACACACGTAGTATTGAAGGGGATGGGGAAAAGTGAATTCAGTAATGGTGCAGCACCCAGATGCCATACAGCCCCTCTGCCCTATGGTTGCCATTTTTTCTCAAAAAAATTACATAAGCTAACAGTAAAAATGACCTGGTGATCATCTGGACCCCTGGTAACCTGTGAAATCACTTGCCCATTGGAGGTCATCCTTAACTCCCATACCTCAGTTTGAGGGGCATAAGGATAACTAGGCATGATGCAGTATAAATTTACAAAAAGAAATCTCCACAACATAGTCAACTTTCCCATCCCAGTCTTATCTTTTGGTCCCCAGGCTTGTTGAGGACTTTCCACCGTTGTAGTGCTGGATCTTGTGAGTCGTCCTCTTTGGGTGCTGATTTGATGTGGGAGTGATGAATCCATGCAGTGACTCCAGCGACCTTGAGGGCTGATGGAGTCGTCAGGACTACAGGATAGGCCCCTTTCCATCGGGGCTCGAGACTTTTTGTTTGATGCCTGTGCACCAAAACCAGGTCCCCTGGTTTGAATTGATGAGGTGGGAATGGCGTGGTATTGCTCCTGGTCTGGTGGATTTGATTGTGGAGATGGTTTTGGATACTGTAAGGCTTGGAGAGACTAAATTAAAGAATTATTAGTGGTCTTAGTGACATGTTCTAAGTTAACCTTGGGGAGAAGAGGTGGTGGTTTCCCATATATAATTTCAAAGGGGGTAAACTTTTTGACATAAGGTGTGCATCGGACCCCGAGTAAGGCAAGAGGGAGCAAGTCAGGGCACCTACCGCCAGTTTCCAAAATGAACTTTGTCAATGTTTCCTTCAAAGTTCTATTCATTCTTTCCACTTGTCCTGAACTTTGCGGCCTGTAGGCACAGTGTAGTTTCCATTCAATATTTAGAGCCCTCACCAATAATTTAGACACTCGAGCTGTGAAGGCAGGGCCATTGTCAGACCCCCAGGTACTGCGGGAGACCAAATCTAGGGATGAGCTCTTGGAGTAGTATTTTAGTAACCACATTAGCAGACTCTGTCCTGGTAGGGTAAGCTTCTACCTATTCTGAAAAAGTGTCTACTAGGACCAGTAAATATTTGTACCTTTGGCTGGATTATACCTCTGTAAAGTCCAGTTCCCAGTGTTCTCCAGGCTGTGTTCCCCTCAGTCGGGCCCCTTCCTTGTGGGGCCCCGCACGGGGGTTGACTCGAGCACATACTTGGCACCTGGAACAGATATCTGTGACCAATGAAGTTAGTCCTGGAACAGAGAATTTGGAACTCACCAGTTTCTTTAGTTTGGATTCCCCTAGATGGGTGAGGTGATGGAGTTGTTGAAGAAGTTGCCTGCCCAGGGTTTGAGGTAGGCAGATTTTCTCATCTGGTAACTTCCACCACCCGGAGTCCTGTTTTATCGCCCCTAGTTGGGCATTTTTGTTTTCCTCCTCCTGAGTGTACGTGAGCGGTTCTGCTAAGTAGCCAAAAGGTTGGATGGGCAATATGTCTTGGGGCCCCACTGGTTCTTTGGCTACCTGTCGGGCTGTCTGGACAGCTCCATGATTTCCTCTGGCCTCATAATGGTTTCCTTTTTGATGACTTTGACAATGAATGATGGCCACTGTTTTTAGTTCCCATATTGCCACTAATAGGGCCAAAATGTCTTCCTTATTTTTAATAGTCTTCCCTTCTGAGGTCAATAGGCCTTGCTGCCGGTAGATGTCGCCATGCACATGGGCCGTGGCAAACGCATACCGGATGTCAGTGTAGATATTCAGTCTTTTCTTGGCCAAGCCGCAAGGCCTGGGTCAGTGTTATCAGTTCAGCTTTTTGGGCCAAGAAGCCCCTATTTAGAGGCTGAGCCCATTTAACTTCTCCTTCTGGTGTGACCACAGCTGCCCCAGCATACTTGACCCAGTCCTCCATGTAACTGCTTCCGTGTGTGAAGTATACTGCATCTGGCTCTTGGATAGGGACATCACTGAGGTCTGGTTGGTTGGTGGTGGAAGAGGTAATCCCATCCTGGCAATTGTGAGCTGGTTTGTCTAGGTCAGGATTGGGGAGTAAGGTCACTGGGTTGAGGGCCATCTCTTTTGTGAAGCGAATCTGAGGTTGATCTAAGAGTAAGGCTTGATACTGGGTCAGTCAAGCATTGGAGAGCCAACAGTCGGGGGTTCCCCGCAATAAAGTTTCAGCTGCATGTGGAGCGGTTATGGTCAGATCTTGGGCTAAACTGAGTTTGTCTGCCTCTTTTACTAATATGGCAGTGGCTGCAATAGCCTGCAGACAAGTGAGCCACCCAGTGGCCACTGGATCCAGCTGCCTGGATAAGTAGGCTACCGGCCTATTCCATGGGCCTAAAACCTGAGTCAATACACCCTTGGCGATTCCCCCTTTTTCAGCTACAAACAAGCAGAACAGCTTAGTAATGTCAGGCAAAGCCAAAGCTGGAGCTTAAGTCAGGGCTTTTTCTAGTCCCTGGAAGGCTGTTTCTTCCTCCGTGGTCCAAACCAAGGGGGAATCTCCACCTGCCATGGCCGAATACAGGGGTTTCACTATCTCTGCAAAACCTAGTATCCAAAGGCAAGAGTAACCCACTGTTCCCAAGATTCTCGGACCTGGCGTTTTGTGGTGGGGGTTGGTATCTGAAGAATAGCCTGTATTCTCTGGTTTGAGAGCAGTCTTTTTCCTTCAGACAACTGATATCCTAAGTAGGTGGCCTTAGTTACACATAGTTGTGCCTTTTTGGCTGATACTCTATACCCCAAGGTTTGTAATAGTCCTAGGTCTTCTGTTGCCTCCTTACAGGTCTCAAAGTCTGCTGTAGCTATTAATAAATCATCAACATATTATAACAAGGTCACCTCTGGGTGGGTAGCTCGGTAGGTGGACAAGTCCCAGTTTAGTGCTTCATCGAACAAGGTGGGAGAATTTTTGAATCCCTGTGGAAGTCTAGTCCATGTCAACTGTCCTGAGAGCCCCCAGTCTGGATATACTCATTCAAAAGCAAATAGCAGTTGACTCACGGGTGCCAACGGGATGCTGAAGAAGGCGTCTTTGAGATCCAGGACCGTGTACACCTGACGATCTGATGGCAGGAGGCTTAGGAAGGTGTAGGGATTGGAGACCATGGGATGGATGGTCTCCATTCACTTGTTTATCTCCCGTAGGTCCTGGACAGGCTGGTAGTCATTGGTACCTGGTTTTTATATTGGAGAAGAGGTGTATTCCAGGGAGACTTACACGGTACCAGGATCCCAGAGTCCATGAGCCTCTGTAGATGTACTTTGATCTTGTCTTTTGCCAGTTTTCTTATCAGATACTGTCAAACTGCTATTGGGGTAGAAGTTGCCAACAATGTGACCACAACAGGCGGTTGATGAGCAGCTAGACCGGGTGGATTTGTTTCACCCATACCTGAGGAAAGAGGGCTTGTAACTCTTGTAACAATTTGACATTCTGATCTAGAGTTTCTCCGGGTTGGAGAAGATATTCTTCAGACAGGGGACAGGTGACCAGAATTTTAGTCGGCATATCCATTTGTAGACTAGCATCTCATTCAGTGAAAGAAATAGTCGCCTTAAGTTTTCTCAGAAGATCCCGTCCCAGCAGCGGGTAAAGACATTCTGGGATGACTAAAAAGGAATGTGTCAACTGATGTTTTCCTAAAACAACAGTCCTGGAGGTGCTCCATGACTATCCTTTGTTTTTTGTTCCTGTCGCCCCGTCTTGTATGTAGTCATAGGTCCCAGCAGTTGGGTCAAAACAGAATAAGCTGTGCCAGTGTCCACTAAAAAATTAACTGGAGTGCCCCCTACCTTTATCTTTACCATGGGCTCCTGGGGGCTGATAGTGAAAGAGTCCCGACCTCCCTAATCTTTAGCAGTCTCCCTTATCAGAACCTTTTGCTCTCTTTCCAGGGGGTCTCCTTTTTATCCTTTTGGAATGGGCATTTTCTCTGTCAATGCCTGAACTTTTTACAAATTGCACATTGATCTCTCTTTAAGGACGGGCATCTCTTTTTTCCTTGTCCATCTCTCCCTTGTCCCTTAGACTCACAGGCGTCCAAGGCTGCAATAGTGACTTTCCCCAATTTCTTGGCCACCGCTTCTTCAGGGGAGTCACGATTTTTGTAAGCCTTTTGGGCAATGCTCAAGAGCTCAGTCCTATTCTTTCCCTGAAATTCTAATTTTTGTAACTTTCTTCTAATATCTGGGGCCGACTGGGAAACAAAAGCCAGATTTATCAGGGCTGGGTTTTCTGGAGTATTTGGGTTTATGGGGGTGTAAACCTGGTAGGCCTCTAAAAGCCTCTCCAGAAATGCTGCTGGGGACTCTGTCTTCCTATGTTTAATCTCACTTACCTTGCTCAAATTGGTCGGCTTTCGTGCCACTGCTCCTAAAAGATGCTGGCAGTAGGCATCCAGGTCCCTCTTACTGTCATTAGTATTTGGGTCCCATCGAGGTCTCTGGGTAGGTATGACTGCCTCTATCCTAGCCACCCGGTCTGGGAGGTTATCTGATCCCAGCCCCAGGGCATCTCATATAGCCTCCTGAAGAATGCGATCTATTTCTTCTTATGTGAAGAGGGTCTGTAAGAGCTGCTGGCAATCATCCCAGGTAGGCTGGTGAGTGTAGAAAACAGACTTGAGGAGAGAAATCAAGGTCTGGGGCTTCTCCGAAAAGGGAGGGTTTTGATGTCTCCAATTGTAAAGGTCACTAGTGGTGAAGGGAATATTCACAAGCCCACCCCCCCCACTCTGGCTCAGCCTGGTGCAAGGGGAAGAGAGGTGCCAGGCTATAAAGAGAGGTGGGAGAGGTGGGGAGGTGAGGCCCTTGACTTTCTGTGGGGCCTGCCCTGAGACCATAATCTTGGCCAGACCTGGTGTGGGGAGGAGAAAATGTTAGAAGGAGAATCTCTAGCAGTGGAGTCGGGGCTCAATGGCGGGGCTGAGGAATAAGGAGGTGGAGAGGGGTCCCTATGTGGTTGCCGGGGGTCCTCTTCCAGTGGAATTTGGAGGACATCAGGCCAGTCGGATGACTGAGCCTTCCTGGCCGAGGCCAAAAGAACTTGTGCTCCTGTGGGCCTGGTGCCGGGTCTCCGTCAAGAGTAATTAGGACCCCCTCCCCGTAGGGAACATTGGAGGAGCCAGTTAGGTGGCTCTTCTACAAGATTCAGCCAAATATCAATATGTGGGAATTGGTTGGGATGGTGGGGCCCACCACTCCCACTGACTCTTTCCCAAATGTTCCAGACAGTAGCTAAATTGAAGGTTCCCTGTGGAGGCCACCCCTCCCCAAAGGTAGGCCATTCAAGTTTGCAGAGGGTGCAGGCTTTCACCTTAGAAAATTTAATCCCATATTCATCCTTTTTATCTGGACTATAAATTTTCCTGAAATTAGAAAGAACACATTTAAGAGGGGTAGAGAGCTTGGATTCAGAACTGCCTATGGCGTCCTGTGGGAAAAAAGACAGGAAGAAACACAGAACAAAGACAACACTGACAAACACGGCGCCAAAGACACAACTACCTAAAATTTGTGGACCATTACCCAAAACCAGGGGTGACTCCTGTCATCACAGTGAGTCCCCGAGCAGAGGAGTTGATGTTGCATCGGACCTCCTTCTGCCCACCAAGCACGCAACCCAAAAGACCATACAGTCCTTACCTCTAGAGGCTTTTTCCCAGATAAAGTTCCCAGTGGTAGAGTCCAAGTCTGCCTGCCTCTGCCGGCAGCTGCTGGACTCGGGGCCCTGGAACGCCTCGGGGTGGCCTCCCCAGAGTCAAGTGCACCGGAGGCAGCCCGAGTGGTAGAGAAGGCTCCAAGACTGTCGGCTCAGTGAGATCTTGCTGGGGCCTCCAAAAATGTTGGAACCAGGTTCCCGACAGTGACAGTCACCCAGGTCACGACACGATGTAAAGTCTGCAAAGAACTTTATTTTCCGGCCGGGACCAAATCCCCTGCAAGGAGACTGGCCACCAACTAAACTTTTGGTCAGTTTTTATAGAGAAAACCCTTTCCTCCTCCCACCTCCCTAGCCCTGCAATAAGCATATTTACAGAAGTGAGAAAGAATACATGGTTATCACATCAGGGTCACCAGGTGCATGTTGTAAAACCAGCCCTTACAAAATGCAGACACACATCCTGTTATTTACGACGGATGGGTTCCATATGTGCTCTTGTGGTTGTTTGTCTAAACCCTTAAACATCAATCAAAAGCAGGAGTATAGGCATGAGATAAGAACATCTGGTGTGCTGAGACATCACACAGGAGTACAAACATGAGATAAGACCCTCCCAGAGTTCACACAGAGGACAGTTTCCCATCAGAACTGGGGCAGTTCAGACAAAATGGAGTCTCTTAAGCTAACTTAGGTCTCTCATACCTAGAAGGAGAGTAGCTGGGTTGAATAAAATTTCTAGTTTCAGCTTTTTTTTGAAACTCCACAATGATTTCCATAGTGATTGTACTAGTTTACATTCCTGCCAACAATGTAGAGACCCCCTCACCCTGCCTCACCAACAGTTGGTATTTTTTGATTTCCTGATGATGACCATTTTTTTCTGGGTTGAGGTGGAATCTCAGTGTTGTTTGAGTTTGCATTTCTCTAATGGCCAGAGATACTGAGCATTTTTTCATGTATTTATTGGCCATTTGTACTTCTTCTTTCGAGAAGTGTCTATTCATTTCACTGCTTATTATTTGATTGGATCTTTTATTGGTCTAGTTTTTGAGTTCTTTATATATTCTAGATATTAGTCCTCTGTCCATGGAATAGCTGGAAGAAATTTTTTCCCATCCTGTAGGTTGTCTCTTCACTCTGTTAGTTGTTTTCACTGCCATGCAGAAGCATTTTTTTTTTTGGTACCGGGGATCGAACTCAGGTCCTTGCGCTTGCGCAGCAGATGGCGAAACCACTGAGCTAAATCCCCAGGCCCTAGAAGCCTTTTAATTTGATCTGAGCCCATTTGTTGATTCTTGATGTTATTTCTTGTGCAACTGAGGTTCTGTTCAGAAAGTCCTTGACTATGCCTACATCTTCAAGAGTTTTACCTTTTTTGGAGGTGGGGGGACCCCAGGGATTGAACTCAGGACCTTGCGCTTATGAGGCAGGCAGTGGAACCACTGAGCTAAATCCCTGGCCCGAGTTTTACCTATTTTATCTTCCAGCAGATTCAGTGTCTAACATTTAGATCTTTGATCCATTTTTATTTTAGTTTAGTACATGGTGAGATGTAAGGATCTAGGTTCAATCTTCTGCATATGCATATCCAGTTTCCCCATCACCATTTATTAAAGAGGCTATTTTTCCTTCAGTGTATGTTTTTGGCCTCTTTGTCAAAGATCAGAGGCTGAATGTGCCTGGTCAAGATTATTTTCTTTGAAAACCCATATTTTAACTGGGCATGGTCATGGAGATACATGACTATAATCCTAGCACACTGGGAGGCTGAGGCAGGAGGATCAAAAGTTCCAGCCCAGTCTGGGCAACTTAGTGATTTATTGATAACCTCAAAATAAAAATAAAAAAAAAAAGGGCCGAGGACGTATGTAGCTCAGTGTGAAGGGCCTGGATTCAATCCCTAATACAAAAACAAAAACCTATCTTATCAATTAAATTTCAATAAAACCCACTTTTTTTCTATGAAAAACTATCTTTTCAATTAAAACAATAATTGTCTAGGGGGCAGAAATATGGACTTTGAATTGACTTTCTACAGAGGGCTGCATCCTCAGTGTTTCTAAATATCTATGCTGTACATGGAGATACTTTATGTCTTTAAAATCTTTTGTCTGCTAATAATACCCTGAAGGGATTTTCCTGTGAAGGGAGCACTTTAAAAATCTGAAAATAAATTATTGATATTGAACATTCTTGTCTCTAGATTTTCTTGTAGTTTTCAAATGTTGGCTAAATATTTATCTTTTGGGGTTATGAATTGGAAATAGCAATCAAAAGAGATTAATTGCCTAAAGCATTTTATTGATCGTTCATGAGTGGGTAAATACATCAAATTAAAAACCCACCTAGGGGCCGGGGATTTAGCTCAGTGGTTCTGACGCCTGCCTCGCCAGTGCAAGGACCCAAGTTCGATCTCTGGTACCCCAAAAAACCCCCACTTGTTTCCATCAAAGAGGACATGAAAGGCTGAGAGGTTAATGCAGACTTTTAGTGCAAATGATGGTAAATACATTGTGTAGTATCCCTGCAATAATATTTTTCAACCTGAAACCTGAAACCTACTCTTCTTAATGTTAGATTTATTATGTGAGTCTGTGTTCTTTCTCTGCTTTTATAAAAGAAAATATTAAAGCTAATCCATTTTAAACCTGATAGCTTCATCTAATAATGAATGTCTAAAAATTCAAACTTAAAAATTATTTGTGAACAAGGACTCTTGGTATCCAAAAGAGGAAATAATACTTACCTTTCTGTAAAAAAATACTTTTGTTTGTTGTTTTGGTGAACTCTCAGAGTAATACAGACAATGCTGGTCCAGAAAATCCACAAATAAAGACAAAAAAGGAAATTTCCCTTCACGGACACAAACTAGCCACTGTTCTTTTGAAACATATCTCTCTGATGCCAGCAGTTCAAGAAAGCCCTAAAATTCTCGTCTATTTGGAGAACATTTCAAAGTGTGGGTTTATGGCACTTTTCACCCCAGAAGTTACCTCTTATAAATGAGGTCATGGTTATAGAAGTAGTACATACCCTACAGTACATAAAAGCAGGCCTCCTTCACCGTTTTCAGAAATAGACCCTATAGGTTACTGGTTTTGGCTTTTTGCCTTTTATGGGAAGTTGATTGCAATATAATGTACTTTAAGCAACCCACAGCATATGAGGAAGGTAGATGTGCTTCTGTGACTATGAGAGGGGGAGAGGGACAGAGAAGCTGAGCACATACTGTGACCAGTCATTCAGATTTTCAGCAGAATTGGCAAGTGGCAGGCCACTCTCATGACGACATGGAATGACCTCTAAAAAAGCCTGCAGCACCAATCTCTTGCAGGTTGTGCTGAAAAAGCTCCACCTTCCACTGCTTGCTAACTGTTGGCCCAGAGTGGCCTCGTATGGTGCTCACCACCCCCACACATGGGTACATTATGCCCATCACTCGTTTTTCGAGCCTCCTCCCACTACTTCTTTGGGCCTCATCTACAACCCCAACATCTTCATGGATACTGTTCGACTGTTCTCAATTCTTCTACATAGGGATAAACAGAGCTTGGAGAACCAGACAAATAGGAGGACTGATATAAACAAAATACAACAGAAAGAAAAAGCACTGCTAAACAGAAAGAGACAGAGGTGGATACCATAGGAAGTCATTTTGAGAGAGTGCATGGCCTCAACTCTGTTCATGTCATCAACTCTACTAAAGTTTCTGTGGTGTTACTTTTTTTAAAGCTAATGTTGAAAAATCATCCATGATACTTGCTGTACCAGCAAGAACCATTCTGCCTAAAGCACTTCCTCTAAGTGCACGTCTGCCTTGATGTTCTGAATTCTTCCCATCATCTGATAATACCTACTAATGATGCTACAATATATTTGTGTAAAAGGTTTGAAATACTGAGACACTGTGGTCCATAAGTTTCCAGAAAATATGGCATACAGGGTACACATGTCACGGTGGTAAGCAAGATGACTTTAACGTGTATGTACATATTATCATTTTAATGATTAGCTACTTATTTTACTATGTATTATTAAAAAAAACACCTGAGTACATCAACCCCTGCACTTAGCAGCACCACTGAGCGCATTACCAACCTCAAGGCCATGTCTCATTAGCTGCTTCCTAGGCCACTTGCTGGGAAATGGGAATCATGTGCACTGTGACCCCAGATTTCAGGAGATGACTATCTCCTGCCACCCTTCCCTGAGGACTGTGGCCCAGTGTCTCCTGACAGCACCGCACCTGGGCAGCCCAGTCAATGAGGATGAAAATGATCCTATAATACCCAGCCTCTGGCTTCCATAGCAGAAGGTCTCCTTTCTCCAGTCAGACACAATTCCCTGAAATTTTACAACATTTAATCACAAAAGAATCTGACATTTTAAAAGTTAGGTTTACAAACCTGACACATTCTTAATATCAGCAATTTGTCTATTTATGCATTATCTAAGAAAATAAGGTCATAAAGACATCAGCAAGATATTTAAGAGTTCACTACAAGCTATAGCACTTTGTAAATAAGTATTCAGTTTAATCGTAACAAACCACAATAAAGCAATTTAACTAAGTATATAAAAACATTAGTTAGGGCCGAGGATTTAGCTCAGTGGTTCCATTGCCTGCCTTGCAAGAGCAAGGTCCTGAGTTCGATCCCCGGTATCAAAAAAAAAAGACATTAGTTAAATACTATTGTCTGGAAATATACATTATACCTACAGCTGTTTTTACAGTGAGATTCTTCTTGGTTTTTTTCCTTTTAATTATCAAAATGGTAAATCATTGTATGGTCCTGGATCTCCATGCTGTAAAACTGAAATATGTGTTTCCAGCGTAGCAGATGGTGACCAGGAAGGCAAAGAACTAGAGAAAACAAAGCACAATAGAAAGCGAGCTTAGGGCACACTGTAATTAGCAAAAGTTATCATTTCCCCTCCACTGAATCATGCACATTCAACATTCCCTTGGCTCCAGGCTTTCTCATCTAAAATTACTTTATGGGTTCAATTACCTTCCTTCTCAAACCGTTTCTGACCATGGTGTTTTCATTTTTTTCCAACGAAAGAAAAAAGCCTATAGCCTATAGTTTTGCTCAAATAACTTCCGGGAGTTCACTGATGGTGGAGTGTATCTAAGCAAAGTATACCACTTCTAATTTAGTACAGGCAGTTTTAGACCAGGGCTCAACCTCAGGTCACGGTCACTACAAGGTCAGCTCATGGAAATGAGCCGAATGGGCCAGTACACGGAACAAGCCCAGCTGGTGTGAGCTATGAACATGGGCAGGAGAAACAGGCCCTTCTTAAGGGGTGGCGCCACTCATTCTAGCCCAGTGCTGTTGTTAAGTAGAGCCCTGTCTTACCAATGCTTGTGATTTTTTTTTTTTTTTTTTTCTAGACGGCATTTAATTCTCTGTTTTTTTTTTTTTTTTAGTACTGGGGATCAAACTCGGGTCCTTGTGCTTGTAAAGCAAGCGGTGAAACCACTGAGCTAAATCCCCGGCCCCATGTGATTTTTAATGTCATGTGTATCTGTGTACTCTACTTTTCGACAGAGATTTTAAATCTGAATACAAGTAAAAAATAAGAGAAGCCTCATGTAACATCACTTTTAACATTATCATTCTGGCATTCCTCACTGCCTCCGCCTCCCCTAAACAGGCTTCTTTTGGGGCATGCGATATTATAAAGGCCACTCTCAGAGCCATTCTCAAAACTAGTCTTTAAAAAGAGAAAAATAACACACAATTTTGGTTTATAAAACAGAATACAAGTCATAACTAAAATAAGAAGTTTCTCACTCCACTCCATTCCCCTCTTTACCAATTCCCTCCCTGAAAAAAACTTGTTAGCTTTTATTTTTCTAGGCATTCCCAGGGGATAAGCAAACATTTCTACTCAAAACAAAAACAAAAAACTGCAAAAAACACAGTGGACCCTTGACTTACGAACTCAATTTGTTGGCAAGGCCTGGTTGCAACTCAGATTGGTCAACTGAAGGCTCAGGCTCCTCTACACAGCCTTCAGAGTCTCTCTCCTGCACACAGATCTCAGTGTCCTTAGGGAGACACTGGCCCAGGATTTCTCAATTAACTCCACACAGGAAAGGATGCTGTAATGTTCCTTCCAGAACTCTTTAAAGGTTAAATCTGTATCACAGACCATCTGGAAGCACAAGCGGCTGGGATCTAGTTCCTAACTCAAGACTTTGGTTGTAAGTTAAAACTAAAATTCCAGTCGTAACCTAAGTTGTTCGTATGTCAGGCGAGTTGTATGTAACTCGAGGTCCACTGTAAAAGGAATCATACACTCAGTTTTTACAACTTCCCCAGCTCAATAAGTTGCAGGCAGCAGAACGATTCCAAACAGCCCTGCTCCCTCATCCTGCTCCAGCCTCGAGGCTTGCACTTCAGCAGAGGTTTCAGCCTCAGGGCACCGCAGGCCACCAGGAGGGGTCATCTTTTTTTGATGTTGGAAACCAATAAGCCCATTGTCATTATTGCAAGTGGGATTTTTTTCCTGCAGATAACTTTGTTCTCCTCCTTGACCCCAGCAGGCCTTGGAAAGGGAGAAGGAGGACCTTGTGGGGGTGGGGGCTGGCAGGGTCACTCACCGATGAGGCAGCCCAGCTGTTGAAGTTGTGACTGTCTCTCTCCGGGGAGACAGAAGTAGCATCCACAACAGCAGCCGAGAGGTATAAGACAAAGGCACTGCCATTGAAGCACAGACCCTGGAAAGGCAGAGGGGCAGTGTTTAGGAGGGAGACACGGAAATGGCCAGAGTTGTACCCAGTGTGGTCAGGGCCCAAGGAGACAGCGCGGGGAGAGTGGGGCCAGCCTGTGAGAAGGCGTCTGCGAGAGGAGAAGGCTTCACGGCAGCACCTGTGTCAGATGCCAGCCCACCCTGGCCACCCAGACTACGAGCTGGTCCTTTAGCTGCAGCTCTTCCTTAGCTGGCCCTCAGCCCTCATCTCATGCAGACGTCTGTGTGGTGACATGTGGTGGGGGGAGGCGGCCACAGATACTGGCCTCGTTCTGTGGTCTTGACCTCTGTGGCGGCTGTTCACTCCAGTCCCTGCCAGAACTGGGAGAGAATGTCCCCCAAACAGGCTGACTGATGTCCTAACCCCTGGCTGTAAGCAGGGGAGGACATGTAACTGAGCTCCTCTTTAAGAAAAGCAAGTTCTTAAAACTAAAAAGGCAATTATAGATATTATCAGAGCCCTTTGGGGACTAATTCCACCTTCCGCTTCACCTTTGTTCCTACTTTTCAAGGAGAGAGAGATGTGAAGCCAAGTAGGTAACTAGATTTCGGTTATATTTAAACTCGAGGAAAACTATACTCCTCAGGGTATAAGGCTTGGTCCTGTCTGCACAACCAGGAGAGGTGGGGCTGGGTAGAGGCAGGAAGAGAGATGCCTCTCAGCGTGTAGGCCCTGTGGTCTATCAGTGGGCCAGACATGCAGAGCACTGGGCAGGCCACACTTTTTTAATCGGAGGAAAAAGGTATGCAGCATTTCCTCCACACAGGCGCCAGGATTCTGAGATGAGGTGTAAATCCCTGAAACCACCTCTGCCCTCTGCCCACATAGTCCTTGGGTTAGGGCTCCATCAGGGTCACACTTGGGGTTCTGGCAGCACCCAACACTCATTTGCCATTAGAAACATGTCCTCAAGAAGCCCTGGTTTCCCAGGATGACTCATTAACTCATTATAATCATTGGTTCTGTGTGTTTTGTTTTTGGTTCAGGAACACATCTGTGCATTTTTAAAAAAGAAAATCTTTTTTCCCCCACATCACCTTTTAGAATACAAAGTGTTGCACATTTACTATTTGCCAAGTAAAGGACTCCCAATTGTTTAGAGATGTAGAAATAGTTCAATGTAGGTACCTTTGAGGAATGGGAGAACTTTTCATTTTATACTCTCTTACAGGGGAACTTAAACGTATTTTTCCTTAATAAACTAGCCATGTATTACTTTTTTTTTTGGTACTGGGGATTGAACTCGGGACCTTGAGCTTGCTAGGCAGGTGGTGGAACCACTGAGCTAAATCCCCAGCCCACCATGTACTACTGTTGAAAGATTCTCTCATTCTGTCTCTGTCTCTCAGGTAACACATACTCCTGGGAGCCAAACGAAATCCAATCTGGCAGACACCGCTACCCTTCTTTCTGGGGTCCAGGCAAACTTTCACACAAATGGAGCCACAGAGTTATGTAACTTATTTTTTTCCATTTAAAAAGATACAAAAGGCATCTTCTCAGGTAGTCCCCATAGACTGACTGCATTTATTGTCACAGCACTTACATCTCACAATTAACTTTCTCTTACTGATGGGCATCTGGATGTTCCTTGTTTTCTGGGATTATAGGCACTACTGTGATGAATGTCTTTGAACGTGTATTTTGGGGCACCCATTCATATGCAGGTCCTCTCACAAGGGGCGAGGATGAGTGTTTAGAGGGTGCTCGGGCTGGCCAGAATGCCTGTGACCTTGCCCAAGCAGCTGTGAGATGAAGGGTTAGAGAGAAGATGAGGAAAAGACTCCTTGAATACCTGAGCTGTGAATATGTGGCCTAATCCACTTTCCTGAACTCTACGGAAACTAGAAATCTTATTTCCTTGGAGAGAAATGGGGAAGAGGGTTGGTGAGAGGTAAGACAGCAGCAGAGGCATTCTTCCCCCATGCCACCCTGCTGGGGCCTGGCTGGCTTGTGACAAGACTCCGCTAATACCATCTCACAGGGCCTAACTGTGGCTTCTCCGGGCTCACGTAATACTCCCAAAGGTAAATATGCCATGAGGATGCCTGGCTCGGGGCACTGCAGTGAACACAGGTGGAAAGATGGTCAAGAAAAGAGCAAGGAAATCAGTCTCTGAGATTGTTCCAATGGTTAAACAAGACCACAGGATGGCTAAAGAAGTGAAAGGGGACACAGGAAGACTCTACAATGTCACCCAGCCTCACAGATACAGGAGGGAGAGAAGTAGGCTCTTGGTCTGTGGATGCTCAAGCTGGAAGATCCCAAAGCTTCCCCAGAACAAATGCCTGTTCTCACAACATCCCGGGGCAGTGGTGAAGACAGCTGCCAGCACAATACAGGCTCTTAGAGAAGGTGGCCAGCTGCTCTTTTTGGAGAGAGTAAGGAGAGGCAGGCCTTTTGGTATCAAAAAGGCTCTTTTTCTCAAATGAAGGCATGTACAGATAACAGCTGGCAACTCTTTGCTGATCCTCACCCTGTGTTACTGGTGTCTGCAATTTTGAAAGCCCAACTGCTAATAATCTCTAATTATTATGCCTAATCCCTTCAGAACAGATGGAAGGCGAGTTTAATTTCGTGGGGGTTTCAGAGTGCAGTCTGTCAGAAGTGACTCTGGGCCACACACAGGTAATCTCTGCACAGCCTCCCTGCCCTGTGTGAGAATCCAAGCTCCAAGAGTCCAGCTCTAGCGATGGTCAGCTCACCACCCTCCAAGGGGGTCCATCCCCTGCTGGACAGACTTTTAAAGAAAAAGAGCCACATAATGGAGGGTGGTGTCACACACACAGTCAAATACACTTCCTAATTCAAAGCATCAGAACTAAGCTTTAAACCGGCTTAGAGTTACCCTATTATGCACAGTACTTTCTAGTTTACCTGACTACTTCTAACTTTCCTTTAGCTCCTGAGACAAAAAGGGAATTAGAGGAAGGTTGCTTATGACTTCCCTGAGTAGTAAGGGAAATTTCAGGTCTGCAGACCAGGGGAAGGGGGCCTGAGGTGATGCCAAGTTAGTGCGTGGATTTGGTAGCAAGAACCCAAATGAATGATTTAAGAGAGACCATTTATGCCTCTCTCAGGTAACAGGTATATGAGCAGAGCTGCTAGGCAGCCTCAGGGTAACAGGAACGGCCTCCTTCCTTCACACTGACTGGCATCTGAGGTCTTCCCATCCGAATAGGGCCGGAGGTGCTTCCAGCACAGCTGTATCCTGGCCACCGAGGGGGTGGTGGGACAGAGGGACAGGCCCTGCCCTCAGGGTATGACTCAGCGTTTTCACACATCATCTCCTTGTATCCCAGGTTCAGTCCTGAGGCCACCAAATCAGGGTGCCTGGGAAGGGTGGACTGGCGGTGTAGCCGTGGCCCCAACTGAAAATTCTATGACTAGAGCAGAAAATGGACACCAAGGGATAATGAGATGCTGAAAATGCAAAGTTCTTGGGCCGCTGCCTGACACTGGGTCCTTGAGAGTCTAATGGAAAACAGAGCAACTGGGTTCAGCACCTGGCACTCCCCAAACCTCTACAGGTCTAGGTGGGTGCTGGGAATGGCTCCTTCCTCTGGCACTGCTAGAACTTCACCAGTTTCTCTTTCCAGTATTTCTAAGCTATCACTCTGCTTAATGTTGTAATTAAGCCGAATACATCAGTCTTTTCCATTAGAGTCTGTCTTTTAGGGGCAGCAGAGATGTTCTATTCACCGATTGTGTGCTTTTTGGCTCTTGGCTCCATTGCCAAGTATTAGTGGAAGAGCCATTCATATTGTTTTGCTTGTTTTGTTTTTTGAAACAAGGTCCTGCTATGTAATTCAGTCTGGCCTCAAACTCACAGCAATCTTCCTGGCTCAGCCTCCCAAGTGCTGTGATTACAGGAATGTACCACCATACCTGGCAAGCCATTCATATTTGATGGAACAGATGTAGTCTAGCCAAAGGCTGACACTACATGAAAATCATCTCTTTACTTCCTGTCCTGTCCACAACCAACTATTAGATTTGCTCAGTGCTATTCTGAGTGTGGTCTGTGGACCACCAGCCTCAGCAGTACAAATAAGTCTCTTAGAAAAGCTTATTCTCAGGCCCAGCTCTGGGCTGACCATAAAGGACTGCTGGGAATTTCCAGGTAGGACATATTCTCAGCTACATGCAGAAAAGCTGTATTTTAAATCCACAGCTGAGAAAAATAAAGGAGGGGGGATGTGGCCAGCCACCAGGAGAAAGGCTGCAGGATACAGGAGCTGGTTGAGTAAACAGACTTGAAATGACTTCTGTCCTTCAACTCACTGGCTATGTGGCTTTGGACAAGTCACCCCTTTAAACTATTTCCTCTGTGGCAGAGCTGCTAGATGTCTTCTGTGACCAGTTCATTCTTCTCATATGGTAGCAGAGTTTTAGCTGAGCATATGGTCACTCAGAATAAAATTTTATTTTTTAGCTTTTCTTGGAAGGACCACATTTAGGCTAACACGATGTAAGTGAAGTAATGTATGTAACTTCAACATTACAAATTGAAGGCAAGAAGTGTGCCCTCTCTATGCCCCTTTTGTTACCTTTTCTCTCTGACTAGATGGTAGATGTGATGGCAGGTGCTGAAGCTGCCACTTTGGACCCCAGGCCAAAAGTCAAGTGTTAAAGATGGTGGAACCACAGACAGGAGAAACCCAGGGTGCTTTCTGATCTCATTTGACAGGTGACTTATATATGGACTATTATAGGAGAGAGAAGTTTTAAGCCAGTGCTGTATTGGATCTCTCTATTGTAGATATCAAATTTATCACCAAACAGATTATACTCTAAATTTACAAGATGGCAAAACCATAGAAGCCTCACCTATCTCAAAGGAGACAATACTGTTAAAGAACAATGTGAACTGTGAAGCGCTCTACCTTTTCTTATTCCTGCTTCACAACTGTGTCCTCTAGAGACCAGCTGGAAGCAGTTGCTTCACACCTGATTGTGCTTTGCAGACTAAGTCACTTGGAGTGAGTGGTTAACGGGGACATGAAGACCCACAGATCCCATCATGACACAATCCCACTGGATGACAGCAGGTTCAGGCAGGAAGGTGCCTACTTCCTGTCAGCCTTTGCTCCTAAGTCATGTGCTCCCTTCATGCCCTGCCATCTGTGCAAGGATCTTTCAGAAGATTTTTGATAACAAATGGGACTCCTTAGAGCTGCTCTGCTGAAAAGACCACCCAGACACATCTGTGAGGGCACTTCCTGCTCAGGTTGACACAATGCAAACGACCACTTCCTGGGGCAACAGAAACTGGAATAATCAGTGTGTAGTAGGAGCCAGGCAGATGCCAAGGTGGACAGCTGTGCTTGGCAACATCCTCTGAGTACCTCGATTTCTTCATTGGCAAAATGGAGATAATCTGTTCCATCTTTGCAGTCACTGTGAGGACTGAATAGCACAGCATCTAAAGGACCCAGTGTGACATTTGACACACAGCAGACACCTAGGTATGAGAGGCAAGCATGCCTGCCCAGGGGAGCTCACAGGGCTTGTGGCCACGTCAGCAGGGATGAACAGAGGATGAGTCCTCAGGAAATGCACTGTGTTGGCCCTGGTGCTCAGCAGTGAGAGAGCACATTTTATTGCTTTAAATTTCTAGCTTAAATCATATCTATCCTAAAACTCATTCAAGTCTCTCTGAGTAAATTGTATTAGAACAGTTGTAGCCTAAGAGCTCAGGGGTGCTTCTGGGATGCAGCTGTAGCTTTTGATGGATATTAAAGGAGGAAACCGGTGATGTTATGCCTCTCCAGACATGTTAAGGGAGTGGACTGTTGTTCAGATAAGCTCCATGCCCTATCCACTGGTGAGCTGGACCATGAAACACTAGTGTTTTCAAGTGTCCCAGGAGTTCGCTCCCAGCTAAGTTTCTGGGGACTGTGAACACCTTCTCTACCATCTCAGGGTCCCTCAATGCAAAAATCCAGAACAAATTCTAAAGTCATGTGGCAGCAAAAATGGACTTGAACTAACATGGGGGTGATGTGGTCTTTATTATCCCTCTTAGCAGGAAAATTCATGCTTCTACACAAATATATGTGTATATTTGTGTGCTCCTCTAGATTCAGGGCCACATATCCCACATTGTAGTATATGCACCAAATTGCCTTATTACCTTTCTGAAATTTTAAAAAGCTAATCTTAATTCATATCTGGGCTAAAGGTTTTGATTCAGGCACTGTCATCCTATAATTATCTGTAAACCAGTGCTCCCCACACTTTAGGAGCCTAAGAATTACCTGGAATGCTTGGGATAATACATTCCCATGCTCTCTACAGAGTTTCTGATTCAGTGGGGGAAGAGAGGCCTACACTTGTGAAGTGTCCAGTGACACCACCTGCCTGGTGCCCATGCCCGAGTAGCAAGCTTCTAGGAGGTACCAGCTGCCTCAGCGCAGAGCCCTAACCTGACGCTTGCAGCACTCCTGAGCCATATTGGGACCCTGCAGCCAGGGCACACTGCAGTCCTGTTTATTTGTAAGAGCCTCAGCTGGCAGCAGGTGATACAGAATAGTCTGAACCTTCAGTGGTTAGTGGATGGAAACTTTTCCTAGTCTCCGCTCTGAATCTTCAATGAGCATCATTTACTCAGCTCCCAAATGCTCTTAGGAGTTGCAAACATGGTTCATTGTCAGCACAGTAAATAAAAGCCCCAACTGGAAGTCAGACATACTTGAGCAGCAGAAAATGAAGTTTGGAAAAACTGGCTCTAAACATTTTATAATAGGGAGAGTTCACACAAAAACTCAGCTTTCTGGATTAAACAATATACCAATCCTGGCAGCACATTTCCAGATTATTTCTTTGAGAAGTGAAGTATATTTTCAACTTGTTTAAGATACGAAGAAAGTGTGCCTGGGGGCAAGAATTCAGCAGGAAGCTGGGTTTCCTCACTTGTGTGAGCTGTCTGACCTGGCACACGTGACGGATGGCTCACTGCCTTGAGGACATAAATGACGAAACAGTTCTCAAGGGACTAAAGGTCCCGTGTCTTGCCTTCTGGTTGGTGTTCTTATCTACTGCTCAGGCAGTAGCAGGCAATCAGAAGAAAAATCTGTGTGGAAAATAAGGGATCTGGACCTCCATGGTGTATAAATCTATATAGTTTTGAGACTCTAAGCCTCAATTTTCTTATGTATAAAATGGGGACATATCTTATGATGATAAGTTCTGATTATGCTAATCCAGTGGTTTTAAAATTGTGGTGTGCCAGAAGGGGGTAATGTTAATTTTTGAAAAGTATATTTAAAGGCAAAATTTTAAAAAAAGAAATCAGCCAAGGATACTTTTGTGCTGTGAGCAGAGTTGACTAGTTGTGACAGAGATAGTATAGCTCAATAAGATAACAACACTTACTGTGTGGTCCTTTGTAGAGAAAGTCTGCACACCTGTGATCTAGACACTATAACTAGAAACAGACTTGAGCAAAGGTGGAAATAAGGTGTTGCTCGCTTCTGCGTTCTAACACTTTGCTCCCCTGTTATGTTGTCCAAGATTCTCTTCTTCCAGGTGCATGGTCACTTTCTTCAAGAATGACTTTCAGACTCATCTTTCTCCAAAATGGCGTTCCTTAAATGCTCCCCTCACTTTGAGCCTTCCTTCCCTGGTTTTCCCATAGCTCCTATTACACCCAAGTACTGGCTGATTTTGAATGCAACATTCCTGTGAGGCTGCCTTTCCTCCTGCCCACTGGGAAAGCAGAACACTGATTCCAATCGTGCTGTGTCTGCAGCCAGTTGTGAACACCTTGTTTGGAATTACTTTCAGAACTTGAAATGCATTCCTGAAACTCTACTGGAGAATCTTCACACTTGGAGGTGGGAAAATAGCCAATAGTCAATCAATTTGTTTTGTAAAATAAAAGTAGACTTGTTTCTTGTGGAGCTAACCTGGCTTTGAAGGCAATTTAGAAAGAACAAAGCCAGGTGCATCTGAGCAATGACCGCACTGTTTGAAAGCCTGCCAACCTAACTGCAGCCTACAACCCTCAAGTGGGTTGTATTTCACATTTGGTTCATAAGTCAGTTATGCAGAACTGGATATTTCTGATATATTGGTTGAAAACAAACAAAAAATAGTATCGTTCCAGAGCTCTGTTTTATAAATACATACATATGTGTGGCACCACTTGGAGTTAAAAAAAAATCATATGGCCACTTCAAATTCCCCAACAATACTGCCATGCTTCAAGGCAAAGGGAAACTCATCTTCTACCTCCACGAATCCACTTAGGATATGTTCAATCCTCATGATAAAGCTAAATGTCACTTCTTCACTGAAGAGTTCCCAGCTATCCTGGGCTGAATATACATAACCCACTGGAGCACACGGCATAGGCACTGGGTCTACATACATCTAGTTCCCCTGAGCTTGAGTGTTTACCTTGTTTAACCACAGGCAGCATGGTGCCTAGAGCGAGGACAAAAATCCAATTGACCTTGACTACTCTTGTTTCCCAATGTGAAGAGACCTGTTTGTTTGCCACAGTAGATTTCATTTTTCATCCCCACTCTTCATACACAACATGCCCTAACATCAAAGAGCTGTGGTTTGCAGAGGATTAAGGAGAGGCTGGAAGGAAGGAAGGAAGAGAGATCTGCAGAGGTTGGTGCCCTGAAACCCTTGTTTGCAGGTGACACTATTTACAGGGACTAATAAACTAGAAAACTTAGGTTTTTTTTCTTTTTTTTTTTTTTTTTGGTACCGGGGATCGAACAGGGGACCTTGCGCTTTCGAACCAGGCAGCAGCACCACTGAGCTAAATCCCCTGGCCCCAACTTAGCTTTTCTTGATTCATGCTTCTGAGTACTAGTTTGCTATTGAGCCTCAGAGGAATTCCTGGACCTTCTAATGTGTCCAGTTTTACGTTCTGAGAGGCAACCTTGAGAAGCAATCAGATCCTGGTGAGATTGTCTGCTGTGTTGGGTGCTCCATGGCTTGGCCCACCTGGTATGGGTGGCCAACCCTGAGTTGGCTAGAAGACTGCATGCCACCCTAGCTAGTGGGCACTGTACAGGAACACCTCCCATGCCTCCTTACCACTGTGGTCCAGGGCACCTGGGGAATCCGGGTGTAGGTCATGGTTATGTAGATGATGAGGAAGAAGACGGTGAGGACCCAATAAAATACAGCTACAAACATGACCCAGCCAAATGCAGGGACTCGAAAGTACTCAGTTCCAGCAATAAGCGTCCATACCAGCAATCCCAGTACCTGTAAAATGGTAGAGGCAGTGGAAAAGAAAGGAGAAAATAAAGAAGAAGGAAGTGGGGACAGAGAAAAAAATAATTATACAGAATGTCAATGTGACTTTCTTGAATATATACATGTGCACATGACTTAAAAAATGGGGGTTGCAAATCACATGCCTACAAATGCCAGGAAGACAAGAGAAATGACAAGGCAGGCAGAGCAGGTGCCATGACAAACAGGAGTCCATGTCCTGTTTTAAGGGGGATGCTCTTCATGTAGCTCCTGCCAATCTTAGTGGGGTGGTTTCACCAAATCTCCTCTCACCCAGGGAGAACACAGGAACTCAAATTTGTCCACGATAATCATATTTTTAAAATAACTGACGCCAAGAGTCTTAAACACCATGTGGGACAAGACAATGTCCATTGCTGGAATTTGATCCCAGGCTGGTACTTGTCAAGGAAACAAGACTGCAGGCCACTCAGAAGTGGTCCCTGGGACTGATCTGCTGTCAAGCCTGCGGCATTTTGTGCCAACTTTTGGGTCACCACTGCACTCCTCACAGGTGGCAGACAGCATGTGGCCCAAGAGCTGTCAGAGGGAAAACGAAAAAGGGCCCTGTCCAGACAGCAACACTCAGGATAGTCTCACAAGTTCTGACCTATGCTGGCCGTAGTCCATTTCTTCATCACTGTGGAGCAAGGCAAAACTCAAAGCAGGATCCACATAACTTAGTGACCAAAGGAAAACACCACACTAAGGGCAAAAAAACAGATTAGACTGGAGGCGATCCAAGTCCTGAGCAAAGAAGGGCACTTGCATTGCAGCGCTTTCCAGGGACCAAGAGGACTCTATTCCTAAGTCTTGGAGAACTTTTCATGGGGATAGCATCAAACTCTAGGGTGTTGAAAGATTAAAGACAATATACAATAGTGATACATGCATGCTCATGTTTATAGTGTTTACAGTAGCGAAACTTACAATGGCTAAGCTCTGGAAACAGCCTAGATGTTGTCAATAGATGAATGGATAAAGAAAATATGAGTGACAGACAAAAGACTACTATCTAGAATATATAAAGAATTGAAAAAAATCAGACCCCCTAAATTCAAAGACCCAATTCAAAAATGGGCATCTGAAATGAACAGACATTTCTCAGACAAAGAAGTAAAAACAGCAAATAAATATATGAAAAAATGTTCAACATCACTGGTCGTTTGAGAGATGCAGATGGAAACAACACTGAGATTCCACCTCACCCCAGAAAGAATGGCTGCTATCAAGAAAGCAACCAATAACAAATGCTGGCAGAGGTATGGGGAGAAAGGAACCCTTCTCCATTGTTGGTGGGAGTGCAGACTGGAACAACCACTGTGGAAATCAGTATGGAGATACCTCAAACAATTAGGACTAGAGGTCCCATTTGACCCAGCTATTTCCCTACTGGGTATCTTCCCAAAAGAATTAAAAGAATCGTACCACAGCAATATATGTGCACCCATGTTTATAGCGGCACAGTTCGTAATAGCTAAAGCTTGGAAACAGCCCAAGTGCCCATCAACTGGAAACTGGAAAAAGAAGATGTGTTTTTTTTATAAAATGGAGTACTACTCAGCCGTAAAGAACGAGAAACTAGAGTCATTTATAGCTAAATGGATGCATATTGAGGCCATACTCTTAAGTGAAATAAATAGGACACACGTGTAAATACCGAATAGTTTCTCTGGTATGAGAAAGTGAAAGTGTAAATAAGGATTTAAATGATTAAAATGAATAATTGATAATGTGAAATAGGAAGAAAAGGTCCAAAGGGGTAGGGGAAGTGGGAGGGTAAGGGGAAAGGGAAGAAGGGAAAGGAAAAATTATGAGAAAAGAAAAAAATGGAAACAAAGTTTATGTAAATAGAGAAGGGTGCAGGGGGTGAAGGGTGCACAGGTAATGGAGAAAAACTAAGAACCAAGATTCATCATGTACAGGTACAAGCACCCAATGATAAATGTAAACATACTGTATACCTAAAATGTACCAATAAAAGAATTTAAGCGAAAAAAAAAGAAAATCAGGCTTCCCAATGCAGACCATCCATTACAGTTTCCATTTCCTTTAGGATTATTGTCTTCCCATACAGTAAACTTCGATATAAATATATATTTGAAAATTGTAAAAAAAAATATGAGTGATATATCCACAATGGAATATTACTCAGTCATAAAGATGAATAAAATCATGTCTTTTACAGGAAAATGAATAAAACTCAAGACTATCATGCTACATAAAATAAGCCAGATTCAGAAAGTCAAATATTGCATGTTTCTTTTATATGAGAAACTTAAAATAGAAATACATAAATGAATAAAATACAGGAGATATGATAGGAAACTAGAAGGTAGATTCTGAGAGAAGGGGATGGGAAGAGCAGGCAGAGAGGTGAGAGGGAAGTAAAGGGATTGAAAATGATTAAGAGATGGTATATGCATTGTATCAATTCCCTAAAATGAACATCACTATATTGTATGACAAACATGGACTAAAAAATAAAAGTCCAAGGTACGACAAAAGCTTTCAGGTCATTTCTGTGTTAGCTTTCTTTGTAGTATACAGAATCAAATATTACAGTAATGCTAATCGCAAAGCTGGGAGGATAGATTTCACTCCTCTGTTTATCACTTGGGCACCTACAACATGACAGGCTCCTTGCTCACAGGTCCTGAGGACAGAGTGGGATTCAAACCTAACAGCCCCTGCTCACAGACAGCTTGGGCTCTGGTGGAAAGTGCATCTGAGTAGTTACAACTGTACAGCTGTGCAAAGTGCTGTGCAGGAAAGGAAAGAGTATGACCAGACTCTAGGCTAGAGGGAATGTAGCTTTGTCCCCAGGCACACAAGTGTCAGAGAGGCCCATGCTGAGGACAGTCGGAAGCCTGAAAGGTACTAGTGAGATGGTGGGAGAACACTGTGCAGAATGCAGCATGAACAAAGGTCTGGGACTTGGAAGGGCTTGGCTGCCTTCTAGGACCTGTAAGAAAGCACAGTAAGTAAGGTAGGACATTGGTGCAAAATGTTAGAGCAGGTGGGGAGTGTCAGATTGTGTGGGCCCGGGAGATCCAAGGACTTTGTACTTTATACTCAGGGTGGTATGAGGGTTTTAAGCAAGAGAACAATGAGGTCAGGTTACATTTTTTTAAGACAACACTGGGCTCATGTGAAGAATGGACATGTGGAGGGGCAAAGGTATGAGGAGACGCCTTCAGAGAAAGTATAACCCATGTGAGATGGTGTCTACAAGACCAGCATGGTAGCAGCAGTGAATACTGAACAGTGAGTAAACTTATGACAAATTTTAGGGATAGGGCTTTGTGCATTAGAAATGGGGCGAGGGATAAACTGCAATGACTTATTCCAGATCTCTAATAAGACTCAGGAAGTGGGTTTTACTGATGTAGCTCAAACAATAGAGGAACAGATTAAGGGAGATGTCCATGAGCTCAGATTTCACTTTACCAAGTTTGAGGAGCCTATCAGATAGGGATTTAAAATGTAGAAGCTGCAGGGAGAAGACTTTAGGTCCTTCTTTAAAAAGGAAGACTTCTGTGAAGCTCACTAAGCCCACGTTTCCATTTAAAACTGCTTCCAAGAGAAGCCCACTTGGTTCGAGTTTGGATGCATGTGCTGGGGAGCAGGTAACAGATTCTGGGCACTGCTGTTTTTCCTTGTTAGAGTCAGACATTGACATTGTTTTATCTGCTTGACGTTATATATGAATTCCAAAGAAAAAGCGCTTAATGGAGATGTGTTTTTGTATTTACATCTGTGGCAACAAAATTTATTGAAAGTGAAGATGTACAAAATGGATGTAATTCCAGAAAGCACCAAGCCTCACACTAATGGGGTTTTAGAGCCTGAATTCATCCTAAATGACAGGTAATCCATACACCTATATTTGACATTGCCTTAGATCACTATGGCTGGTAATGGATGCAATTCAGCGGAGCAGCATCTCAAACAACATTTTGGGCTTCTTGATTCAAAGTGAAAGGGTCAGATGGGCCCTTTGTTCATGATTCACACAGGAAACATAACAGTGAGTGAAAAAGCACTGCAAATGTGTTTATGGTGTCTCTCTGGGATCGCAAGGGTTTAGGTTTCCTGCACAAGCTTGTGTGTAGCTAAATGGGTTCAACTAAGAGCTCTTGGCCATATATGCAAAAATGTTTTCCATTAATAAGCAAGCAGAGCCTACTGTCCAGAGCTGCATTGTCTAATTTGCTAGCAGCGGTCACTTTTACACACAGGGACAATATTAACTGAGCTGTCTCTCAAACAGCAGCATACTTGGCCTATGACCTCACCAGCAAACACAGTAAAAAGAATGTCCCTGTCAAGAAAAGAATTGTTCTACCCAAGTGAATTTCCTAGGTAACTGAAATATATCTAGAGGCAAGCCTTTTATCTCTCTCCGTAAGCAATACTGATGGAAATCACTACAAAAACATTACTCATCTCCTGCTTGGTGTGTTTGCATGTAAGACAAATCCTAGATCTTTATGCGCTTAGACTACACAAATACTATTTATTTTTTCCCTGATAAGCATTTTTTAAAGGCTAAGAATTTTTGAACAGTAAAGCTAAGACTTTAAAAGTTTTTAAAAAAATGATCAGTGGGCAAAACATTAACACAGGGGTATATAAGGAAATGACAACCCCTGCCCCTATTTACTGGTGATAAATTCAAGAAAAAACCAGTATAAACAATTTTGTGTGTCTCCTTCCTAACCTTGTTGCTTGCATTTATAACCACCTCCTGCATATGCTTTTCTTTCTCCTTACCAATGTGGATCAACGTATTGAGTGCCTGTAACTTGCTTTTGGTGGTCAGCAATGGCATGGGGGACATTCTTCCACACTACTACATGGTACAAAGCTGTGCCAGTCTTCACAGTTGCTCAGTTTCCCATTATTTACATAACCAGTCCCCTACAGAAGGAAATTTACGTAGTCTCTTTTATGCCTGTACAAAAATG